ATAACAGAGCTAGTGAATGTTTGGCAAGGGTTGAAGTTAAGTAGACCTCTCAACTGTAGAAATATAAGGTACTTGTGCACTGGTTCAAGAATAATAGTCAAGGTCCATGGCAATATCCAAATATCCACATGCTTTAAGAGAGGCAAGATGGCTGGCAAGGGAAACATGCCAACCTTCACATGGACTTTGAGATTTGCCAAAATTTTGGCTGATGCACCATCCAAACAAGGAGTGACCAGGAACTAACCTTTTTTATTTTTTTGGGTTGAGGGGCATCTTAGTTAATTATATGTTATATGTACTGAAAGGTTAGGTGGCTTATGCTAGTCTAATATTGGGATCCAAAGGCACTTGTTTGATTGTATACATTCTTTTGCTCATATTAATAAAAAGTTGCAGTTACCAATAAGAAAAATCAAGTTTTCTCCAGGTATTCTGCATTCTAAGTCTTTTTGTGTTGTTTTGCAACCAACCAAGCCTTATGCCTTCAATCAAACCATCTGTTTTATATTTTACTATGAAGATCCATTTGCACCCAACATGTTCTTTGTCTTTAGGTAAGTCAACATTTTTTTTTTGAAACTGTAAGGTAAAGTATTTAAGTCAACAGCCTCTTTTGTTTGATTATTTAAGAGAGCGTCCATTTCAAGATCCATTGTCTCTTTCCACTCAGTATGAGCCACCAAGAGCTGCTGATTCATTGCAAGATCTATGTGGGTTACTAATCCTAGACCTTCATTGGCTTCAACTTGAAAACAAGAGAGGAAAATGCAACAAAACCTGGCTCTGATGCCAAATTGATTTAGTTTCTTTGATTTAGGGTAAATAATGTGGGTTTCGAAGAAGGAAGAGGAAGAAGAAAAGAGTAGAAAACACCATTTTTGAGGAGGGGAGAAAGGATGGGCATTGAATCCCTTTCACTGATATTTATAGTCTAGAAATAAAGGTAAAACTACAAAAATACACCTGCTTTCAATACTAATAGAAAAGACATAAAAACTCAAAATCTTCAATGAGAATGAAGAATGAAATGTGGAAGCAAGTAGACAATTCGCTGTCCACTAAAGGATGAGCAGAAAATTGTATTCAAGGAATGAAACACTTTACAATTAGGAACAAAGAGAGAAACCTTGTTTGCCTTTATAATAAAAAAAGAGAGAAATCTGGCTGTTTGGATGTTTAGCAGAGACAGCCTTTTGCAACAATGAATCTATAAGCTCTTTTTCTGGTCGATTCTTGACCATTGACAACCAAGGAATTCAAAGGCAATTTCACTCGATGATCCTCAAAGAAGTCAAACAGAGATTCTCTGTAGTCTGTTCAACCCCTTGCATTTCTCTACCAAGGATTTCCGTCCCTCCAAAGATGGACACACAGATCAGACTTAATCCTGATGGCAGCTTTCTTGGTAATCCAGGTCCATCTGGGACTGGAAAGGTCTTCAAAGATCTCAATATTTCTCTGTTTTGGTACTTTTGTGGTCGTATTGAGGATGCATATGTTGTCAAGGTTCAAAACATCAATACAGTTCAATACGCCAGTTGGGCGTATCGGACTGTATCAACTCTCGCATCCCTTTTTTTAGTTTTTTTTTCCAACCTGGTTCAGAGAGGTCGGTTTAAGGCCTGTCAACCCTCTTGCCGGGTTAGACCCCGAAACACACCCTGTAGGGGCATATCGGGAAGCCCACGGTGTGATATGTGTCAGCTGATACGGCCTGATACGTATCGAAATTTTGAACCTCATATCTAGTTAAAACTGAATGGTTGGCATTACTCGTTGGTTCAAGAATTGCAAAACATGTTTAATCCCCGACTTCATCAATTTTCTGTGATTCCATTAATGCAGTTAGATTCCCTATTCGAGTTCTTATCTTTGTTCAGTGGTATTGAAGTCTTGAGAGGATTTTAGATGAGCTTGTTTTTTTATTTTCCTGTTTTCAGGTAATTTCTTATTACTTGTATCTCTAAGTCTACTTTTTTTTCTTTTAATTAATCTTTTGTTTACTATTAAAATAATTAGGTAGGGTAATAGGATGGATTCATGGCCATGGAGATTGATGCACCATCTAAATGAGATTAGAACATTTTCAATTCCTGGATATTTTCAATTCCTTTCCTACTATTATCTCTTGGATTCCTGGAGATTTGACTCTAAAGCTGATAAAATCATGCTAGGAGAGGAGTAGTGAGGGCTTTCTCTTACAGCAATGGTGTTGTTAGTTACTAGTTTTGTTTGAGAATGGAGCTTCTCTTGTTCTTTTTGTATATCTATATGTTATTAAAAAAGAAGAATACATAGCACACACACTGATACAAAGAGATTGAAAGAAATACGTGTTTTTGTGTGTGTATGTTGTAGTTGTGAAGGCAACACCTAGGTGATGAAGCACTTTTTTTGGGATTGCTTTGTGCTTTGCCCAGGTATTTTTAGTGTATGAGGTTTGCTGATTTTAAGTGTACTGCACAACTGTTGCCATATTGTATAAATAAGGTGAAGGGTGTTAAAGGGCATCATAAAGGGCCAACTTTCTATTTAGAGAGCTATAAAATGGGTTTAGGGTGAACCACAGTAATGAAAGGGAAAGTAGTATGTTCATTATATTTTAGCCTTGACTAGTTTTACAAGAGGCATTTTCTTCTACCTTTCTCTCTATTTCTATGACCAAAAGAAAGCACCATATTTTTGTCTGGGAGATCAGGGACCTTTCCCCTTCATTTCTTATTTTTATTTTATCTTTTTAATCATTTAATAACTACTCTTTATATTTCTAATTGTGACTGAAATAGGGGCCCTGCTTCTTCATTTTGTTTCCTTATCTCCACGTTAACATGCTTATGCATGTTCTCTCCTCTTTATATTTCTGTTACATTCAACATAACAAGGGCTGTGTTTCTTCATTTGTTTGTTTTTCTTGTTCCTGTTTTATCATTATCACATGCAAACATTTACTCTGTATATCTCCATCGTTTAAAATGTCTGTAAATTTCCTAATATTCCCACAAATATTTTCATTTCCATGGGTGCCAACACGAAATATTACTAGAATCGACATATTCCCCCAATGAAAGCTACCCGTGCTATGTGGAGTACAAGAGGTAGTATTATACCATAAGTTGGCAAAATTATTTAAGATATGTGGACTAGCAATGTTACTGCCCACCTGATGGACATGATTATCACTTTGAGCTAGCTCAAAATTTATAAAGTTAAATCTTAACTTTTTATTGTATAATAAATTGTTTGGTTGTTCTATTGAAATTATTTGCGGTTTCTATGAGTTTAAATTTTACTTGAACTCCTTGTATCATGCAGTTTTGGTGATTTGGAACAAGATAATTATTTAAAAGGGTCTACCCATGCATCTTTTATCATTATATAAAATAGCATTCTATATGTTTGCATATTTCACAATGTTTCCACTTTCCACCATGTCTATAATTTTTACGATATCAATGTATGACATTTCTAACATTTTCAACATGTTTCCTATATTTGGAAGACCGATATTTCCACTGTCACCAACATTTTAAACCTTTTGTATCTCTCTTGCATTAGTAGAATTAGTCTCCATTAGACTTGTTCATGGGCCGGGTGGCCCGGCCCCCAGACGGGCTTGAACATGGTTATAGGCCCACGAGCTTAAACTCGGGCCAAAAAGCCTGGCTCGCAATAAATTCGAGCCGGGCTCGGGTTTTGTCAAAATAGCCCGGCTCGAGCCCGGCCCGGCCCGACCTAAACCTAGACCTAAAATCCCTAATCGAATAGCCCCATCTTTTTTATTATCTCTTTGCCTCTTTCCCTCTTCTTTTTTCCAGCCGAACCCTTCTTCTCCAACCTCCACATCCTCCACACTCCACAGTGAGGCGGCGAACGTTCACCGGCACAATAACTCCAGCAGCGACGGTGAGTTTTCTCTCTCTCTATCTCTCTTTCTCTCTCTCTCTCTGATGCGAAGTTGCGAACTGATGAGGGATCTCTGTCAAAGTGCGACGGTGAGTTTTCTCTCTCTCTCTCTCTCTCTCAGATGCGAAGTTGCRAACTGATGAGGGATCTCTGTCAAAGTGCGACGGTGAGTTTTCTCTCTCTCTCTCTCTCTCTTAGATGCGAAGTTGCAAACTGATGAGGGATCTCTGTCAAAGTGCGACGGTGAGTTTTCTCTCTCTCTCTCTCTCTGCAAAATTTATTAGGTCGGGCTTCGGGCTTTTTATCAGGCTCGGGCTCGGGCCCAAGTTATAGGCCCGTAGGTCGGGCCGGGCTCGGGCTCGGGCTCGGGCCTAGCATATTTTCATTAATAGGGACTAAAAGCCCGACCCGGCCCATGAACAGGTCTTGTCTCCATCCTCCTTTTTCTTCACAAATTCATGCACGTTCTCTCTTTATCATTATCACACACACACACACACAAATTCATGCATATTCTCTCTTATCTCCTGGAGGTTTCACAAGAGGCATTTTCTTCTACCGTTCCCTCTATTTCTATGACCTAAAGAAAGCATCATATTTTTGCATGGGAGATCTGGGACTTGCCCCATCATTTCTTATTTTTATTTCCAATGTCTTAATTAATTAATCAACACTCTTTGTCTTTCTAATTGTGACTGAAATAGGGGCTTGTTTCTTCAGTTTTTTGAATTTTCCTTCTCTCCACATTAATGTGATCATGCACATTCTCTCCTCTCTATATTTCTGTTACATTCAACATAATAAGGGCTGTGTCCCTTCATTTGTTTCTTTTTGATTTATCATTTATAACACATACAAATTCATTCTCTCTGTATATATCTCTTGCATTAGTAGAATAAGGCTCCATCCTCCTTTTTAGGTGGCATGAGAAAAGATGTTTTGAACAAGCTCTCCATGTCTGCTGGAGGGTTCCATCTGCATCTAAAAAGAGAATCTATTCCCAAATACTTGTATGTGGGTTGTCTGCACCTTTGTATGTTGATTCTTGTATTATCATAAATTTGAGCTCTTATTTGAGCCTCTTTGGTTCACAGCAACAATATGATGAAAAAAATATACGAAGGAGGGTATATGATGCCCTGAATGTTCTCATGGCAATGGATATTATATCAAAGGATAAAAAGGAGATACAATGGAAAGGTCTGCCTCGCACTAGCCTAAATGACATTGAAGAGTTAAAGGTTTGACCAACCTGTCATGTTTTGAACTTTAGAAAAATAGTGTGTAAAATGTGCAGCTTTTGTTTGGTGAATGTCCATGCTTTATTATAAAAAAATATCCTATTTTATATTATTACTGCAGGCTGAACGTGTTGGACTGAGAACCAGGATAGAAAAGAAAGCCGCCTATTTGCAAGAACTTGAGGATCAAGTAAGGCTCCTTTTTTTATTTTTATTTGGGTTGGCTTATATACTCTATTTAATATTGTAACAACAAGAAATCTAGAGTTGTTCTCTAACTTTTCCTTGCCCTTTTCAAAGTTCATAGGTCTTCAAAACCTGATTCAACGGAATGAGCAATTGTACAACTCAGGAAATACTCCTACAGGCGGTGTAGCTTTGCCTTTTATTCTGGTTCAGGTACAGTTGCTTGTCTGTTTTATATTTCTGCCTGTTTTGTTAATCCATTCAGTTTTAAGAGGGATAAAAATGATGCTAATTTTCTACCTTTTGCGGTTTTACCTTCCTTTTTCGAAACTTTCTGTGTTCAATTCTTTATAATGCAAAGATTAATATTTCAGTTTATAGTAGGAAGCAGTGATGCATATACTTGGGAGGGCATTATAGGAGTTGAACTGGAGCAACAGGAGAAAGTAATATTTGCCACGTGTACCTATGACTAAGCATTTATGCATCTTAAGTGCATCTTTTCCTTTTTGCCCCTTTAAAGTTTGGCAACTGTGTATCCTAAAATATTGACAAGTTAATCAAAAAGTTCTCCTATTAGCCAAAAACTAAGGTAAAAACAAATAGTTGGAATTTAGAAAAATTTATGACAATATGTCTTGGGACTTTTTGATTGCTGTCATGGGTCAAATGGTTTTGAGAATCTGATGGGAGACTAGAATTTTTTTTGATAAGTAAATCCTTTTATTAGATTGAAAAGATTATCTCATACAAGCAACCCTTGGAGAGGTGCATGTTGGATCTCTCCCACTAAAGAAGAAAACAAAAACAAGTTACAATTGTGCCCAATACGAAAGTTCCCTAGCTGTCCCTTGCCCTTGCTTGGCTAGACAATCTGCCATAGCATTTGCTGATCTCCCCACCCATTGCATTCTTACATACATATTTCTTGTCAGCATCTTAAACTTCTTAATTTCATTCCTGAAACACCAAACTACTGACTCTGGGTTCTGCAACCAGCTTATTACTACCTTGGAATCCTCTTCAACTATTAGTTGTTCCACCCCTAACTTAGCTGCAAACTATATTTCTAGATTTATTACTGTATTTTTACTGCCTCTTCCTCTATTTTGATAAATGGTTCTTGTGGTGACTTTTTAGGAGCTCTAGAGGTCTCAGGTAAGGATACCCTCTCTTCCTTCTTTGTTTTGTTCTTGTTACAAAGGCCCTCAGCAAGATATTGTGCAGGGATGAATCTCTTGGCCCCATTTCAGGCTTTTGGGTGAAATAGGATGTTCTGTTGATCACGTGCCTTCATTATGCAGATGATACTTCAATTTTTATTGATTTCTTTCATCAATAACAACAATTTCATTAATCAACCAGAATAATTAATTACAAAGATGGGGAGATAAACTTTCTTAACTCCCCCAACTGAGTCGAGAGCCCCCATAAAGAAAAAACTAGAGTTACAACTGAGCCTAGAACATAGATTCCCTAACCACCCCTTGCTTAGCTAACCCATCAGCAAACGAGTTAGCAGATCTCTTCACCCAGCTGAGCTTAATTTCCATGTCCTTAACCAACCGCCTGAACTTTTTCCTTTCATTGCTGTAATTCCATAACCCAGTCTTGTCTTCTTTTAACCACCCTGCTACCACCTCCAAATCCCCTTCAATTACAAGTCTCCTAATGTTCATTTCCTTTGCTCTTTGGACACCTTCCACGACTGCAGAGATCTTGGCACTGAGAGAATCACCCATCCCAATTGGGCCTGAGAACAAGGCTGAAACAGTCCCATTCTCATCCCTAAACACACCCCCAATACCTGAATGCCTAGGGTTCCCTCTACTACTACTACCATCAAAGCTCAGTTTTATAAAACCAGAGGGGGGAGGAGTCCAGGACAAAATCAGACCTGTTTTGACCTGGGTACAATTAGCAATCTCTCCCCACTTTCTCAGCAGATTATCCACTATAAAGTCTGTGAACAACTCTGAAGATTTCAGCCACTTTACCACCCTTATATGAATCAGATCTATCAGGTTTTCTGCACTTCTCTCCTTTTCAGAGAAAAATCCTTGAGTTCCTTCCTTCCCACAATGACCAGCATACAACAGCCCTTAGGCATCTCCACATAGTCCTACCCCTTTTCAGATGCCACCTGAAAATGGAAGAAGAAAATAGGCTTTGCAAATTCAAGGGGGGGGGGGGGGGTCCAGCTACACTCAAAAAGGGAAAATGCCCATTCCCGAATAATTTTTGCAAACTGGCATGAAACCAATAGGTGGAAACCAGTCTCCCCATCAGCTTTACAGAGAATGCACCAGTGAGGGGATAAACATGTCTTGGGTCTGTTTCTTTGAAGCAAACGACTAGTGTTAATTCTTTCTAGAAAAGATTCCCAACAAAAACTCCCAACCCTAGGAGGAATTGGCTTGCACAAATCTCTTTGACAAGGAAATGAAGGCCTATGGGGCTGGTTGGCTGAGTAGCTTGAGTTAAGACTTTAAAGAAAGAGGCACAAGAGAAGGAGCCCGAAGGGGTGGGGGTCCAAATTCTAGTGTCTTCTTTTGCGGGTGCAAGAAAATATTTTCAAGAAGACCTAGGAGAGTCAAAATGCTGTTCAGGTCTGTATCTATAATAGCCCTTCTCAAATTCAAATTCCATCCAATCCCAGAGTTTGAAGATGATGGGACAAGAAAGGATGATATTATGTCTTTCTTGAATTTATCCATTTCCCAAGTTTGCAACTTAAGGCTCTTTGTTGTTAGAAGTTGTTTCTGTACTTGGGATAAATGTCTTTGATACTCTCTCTCTCTCTCTCTCTCTCCCTTTCTCTCTCTACTATTCCCTCCAATATCAGTGTGAATGTGGATAACTTGGTTTTGGGAAATATGGACAACAGTTGGGATGGTAGAGCCACAAACAATTTACAGCTTCCAGAAATCAAAATATGGAAAATTTACAGCTGCTGATTTTGTATTTGTATTGGTTAGAGATTGTGCAGAAGATGTAGAAGATAAGGTGTTGTAAACAGTGGGGAGAGGAGGCTGGAGATGATATAATGGAAATTAATCAAGCGTTTAAGATAGAAAGAAGAGGAATTCAACAGAATTTATTGATAAAGAAATAGAATTGGGAAAGAAATTAAATGTCCGAAAAGTGTTTATGGAACTAGAGGAGACAATTAAAAGCCTTAAAACTGCAACTAAAGAACATAATAAATAGTCCAAGTGGGGCAAAGATCATTCTTATTTGAAGGTGGAAGGGAGAAGGGGTGGAATCTATTAAACTGCAAAGGGGGTAATTGGAAAGGGTAATGATGTGGAGTGCAGCTAGAAAGGGATTGAAGGTTGGGGGTTGGTTTTGTGTTTGTAGGGTGTCAGTATTTTGAAGAAAAGCAGGGACAGGGAGTCTTCCTGAAGAAGCTTGGAAATGGTCAAGAGCTTCATGGTGGACTCTCAGTGAACTTTCACTTTAGGACTTAAGAGAGCCCTCACAGATTCACAATCCCTGGTGGTGCCTGCCCTCTTGTTGTCTCTTAATGAGGTTTTCCTCTCCTCCTTCCACCATGATTAACAAATTTGGTCTACTCAAGGTAATTTCTCCAGTAAGTCCTTTTGTCATCTCACTACTGGCTTGATAGATTATCCTTTCTGATAAGAAGAATTTGCCTCTCCTTGGTTCCTCTAAAAGTCTCCATCTGGGAGGCTGTTTGGGGGTGTGTAAATACTGGGGACATCATTCAAAAGAAGAGAAAAAGCTAGCTTTATGTGTCCCCTCATGTTTACATTATGTGCGTGAATGATGGTGAACCGATTAGTCACCTCATTAATTGCAGTGTAGTTTGGACTTGGAGCCTTTGGCAGTTCTTTATGGATTACCTTCACAGTGGCAGTTACAGATGGGTTCCCCCTAACTCCATTGCTGACATCATCATCCAATGGCCTTCTTGCAAGCTTGGTTCTAAGGGAAAGATTTTCTGGAAGGTCATCATGCATGCTCTTATGTATGCATATGGGAAGAACACTAGAAGAATTTTTGAGAATAAACCTACTAATGTGGAGGATCTTAAAAGCTGAGTTTTATCTAGAATTTTTTGCTCCCTTGTAAGCAATTCATTGGCATCACCTACGGAGACATGAGTAAAAATCTTTTTGATGTCTTGTGATCTTCTCCTGCCTATCCTCACTTCAATTTCCCTCTAATTCCAAGGCCGATTACTGATTACATATTGAGGTTTGATGGCAGCAGAAAATCTGTGCATGGCCTTTTGGAGACATCTGGCATTGGTGGTTTGATTCTCTCTTCTGATGGCAGGGGGGTTTGGGCCTTTAACAGACCTGATGGGCCTGTAGATGCATCTGAAGCCTAAATCAGAGCCTTTCTGGTTACCTCTGGATAGTTATGTCTATTTTGCGAAGCCTTTAGTGGCTGAAGGTGACTCTAGGAACGTGATTGGTTGGGCGTCCAGAATTGCTTTGGGGCCTTGGAGGTTTTCCCACTTGCTGGACGAGATCCAGGAGATTACTGTTTCCTTGAATTGCTTGTTTTGATGGACTCCAAGGGATTTGAACTCTATAGCTGATGCTCTTGCAAAATCTGGGGTGGACAGGGCTGTTTTGTATGGTGCTAATACTTTACTGTTGTAACTTCTGAGGGCCTATTGTCTGTTTTTTGCTTGTACATTCCCTTCCCCCCTTTTTCCTTGCAATGAAATGTTACTGTTTCTAAAATATGATTGTTTCAACATGAATTTCTTCAAGAGATGATAGGGAGTTGTTAAAGCATATTTACTAAAAGCCTTGGTAGGTTTTTACATGAAGGGCATTGATAAAAAAAAAGAATTAACTTTGGTAGCAAGTGGAGAAGCTGCATTAAATTTTGTGTCTCAATTCTTAAATTTTCTATTCTTCTCAATGGCACTCCAACTGGATTTTTAAAAGCTCGAGGGAGCTGAGATAGGGAGATCCCCCCTTCCCCAACCACTCATTTCATTTGTGTCACTAAGGCTCTGGCTACCCTCACAAACAAAGCTTTAGGAGGAGGTTATGTTTTGGGGTTTGAGATATGCAACAATGCGCCCGGCACTTGTCTTCTACACTTTGTGGATGACACTTTAATCTTCTTTGAAGCCTCCAGCTTTCACATGCAGTATCTTTTGGGAGTGCTAAGGTGGTTTGAGATTGTGCCCGAGCTTGTAATTAATTTCAATAAGAGTTCCTTGATAT